CCCACGGGCCAGCGCCGCCACCTCCGCGCGTCCTGGGCCGGCAGCCAGCGCCTCCCCGAGCACGCCACGCTCAGGGGGAAAGGCCCACGCGGCGTGGGCTGCCCTGGGCCAGGGGCTGCCAACATCCCACCCGGGAGTGCGATGGCAGCGGTGTCCCCCAGCACATCCCCGAGCCGGAGCCACCTCAGGCTCCTGAGCCGCGGGCCCATCTGGCCGCAGCATCTCCCGTGGCTGCAGTCCAGGGAAGGGGATGTTTAGGGGATGAGTAACATCCTTCCTGGCAGGGCCGCTGCCCGCTCCTGGAAGCTGCTGCAGGCACAGAGGAGCTCAGCCCTTCGCCCGCCTCTTGCCCCGCTCAGCCGGGGAAAGAAGCCAAGAGCGAGGAGAAAGTCGGGGATGGGACCGGGGCAATCCAAGCCCGTGGAATCGGCACCAGTCCCAGGTGCCAGGGAGAAGGGAGGGAGGATGCTGCGTGGCACGGTGGGAAACAGCCAGGAGGCACAGGTTGGGGAAGGCAGCTCCGGGCCCCCTCTAGAGCAGGGCTGGAAGCCAAATCCTGGCTGTGTGCTGCCAGAAGCAGCTTATTTTGGAAGGGAGGCGTGTTGGCAGAGTGCTTGGTGCGTGGAGCTGCTGACGCCGGGGAACAGGACAGCTCTCATCAGGTCCCAGCCATGCCTCGCAGGCCAACGCTGCTTGGCTTCAGCCCGCAGCAAAATCTGCCCCAGCACAACCAGGACTGGATCCCCATCTCCTGAGTCACCCACTTAAAAGGGTGGACACTCCAGTCACAAGTCATCACACTGCCCAGGGCCACGACTCACCCTGAACACCAGAGGGGCTTCCTGGGACTCGCCAAACAGGATGGACTGAGCTCTTACCAGCTCTGACCCATCTGGCAAGGTACAAGGTCAAGCCTTGAACCAAGAAAGAGGCACACAGGCTTCATTCCCACCCCTGGATCCTGCTTCCCCTCTCCTCAGCTCCCAGGAGCAGTACCAGCCTCTCAGGAGCCCAACCCAGCCTCTCCAGGGGCTCAGACCCTCAAGGCAGCAGGGTCCATCTGGCAGCTGCAGCAGGACTGTCAGGGTGCTGTGGCATTCAGCCATGACCAGGTCTAGGATGGATCCCAAACTCCACAGCAAACCAGGGACCTGCTGTGCCTTCCCATGGGGCTGAGGAGCCAGCACAGGCAGCCCCTTGCCAGCATCCCTGGGCCAGGGAGCACACCTGGAGCAGGCTGCCGTGCCTGGACACGGCTCGGGAGCTCCTGCAGTTTCCGTGTGGCTTGGCATGCCACAAATCTGGTCAGGTCTCAGCCCATCCTGCAGCGGGCACAGCTGGGAGCCGGGGGATGGAGCAGCCAAGCTCCCAACACGCAGCAGCCGGCCTTGCCCTCCAGAGCCGCACACTGCGGCATTGTGGCCCGGCTGGTTTTTCCAGAGTTGCATCCAAGGGGCGCAATCAGATCTCAAGGGAAGGGAGCAGGCACGTTCCTGGCTACACAGAGGAGCTGTCGAGGCAGTGCCAGGAACTGGGGCAGTTGCTGGGCACTGCAGCAGGCCAAAGGAAAATCGAGCAGACAGCTCCCAAACCTGGGCTGTTCCTCACTGCCCAGCTCCGGGAGCTGCTGTGCCTTTGCAGAGCTTTGTTTGCAACCCCTGAGGCAGAGCTGCCCTGCCCTGGCACTTCTTCAGCTTTGTTTTGCACCAACAGATATTAAACAACCAGCCTGGAGGGCTGGGATGGGGGAAGGACCCTGCTGGGGGAGCAGGGAAGTACTTGTGGGAAGAAGGCTCTGGGAGGAAAACAGAAAAGTAGCGTCAGGGAAAGGGAGTTCCCTCCACACAGGGAGGTTGTTTTTGATCAGGGCTTGTCTAGACTGGAGTCACCCACACTGCACAAGCACATCAACACCACGCAGCCAGCCCAGGGCTTCCTGCTGTTCCCAGGAGGACAGAGGAGCTGCACTCACCGAGTGTGGGCAAGAGCTGACCCTGGGACTGCCCATCCCATCCCCAAAGGGACTGGGGGACCCTCAGGCTTCCAGGGTGCCGCCTCCCAGGGTCCCTCATTTCTTCCCAGCAGTCAGAAGGCTCAGTGCCCCCAGGCTCCCCAGCCTGGCTCTGTCACCTGTCCCCAGCACAGCCCTCGGGCAGCACAGGGACACAGGTCCAGCAAGGCTCTCAGTTCCTTCCCTGCCTTCCCTCGGCTCCAGCTGCCGGAGCAGCCGAGAGCTGCAGGCACAAAGCGTCACTTTTTCCAGGAGCCTCTCCCTGCTTTCCCTCCTCGCCCGCAGAGCAGCGCCGCGATGCTGGGGACTGCAGGAGGCTCCTGGATCAGGGCAAAAGCAGGATGGGCCTGGCTGGGGTGGAATCTTGGAGCCCCACGCCAGCCACATCTCTTCTTTGGCTCAAAGGGCTGCCCAGCCAAAGCACAGCCCCCGTGAATGTGACACCTCACAGGCATCACAGGCAAGGAGCACCTGGCTCGAGGATGCTGCTGCTCCCAGCAGCCCTGGTCAACCTTTCCCAGGGCTACTGGGGGAATGGCTTAGCAGCCCTGACAGCCCCCACCTACAGCTGAGAGGCTTCAGACACCTTTCCCTGGGAAAAGGAAACCCCAAACACTTCAGCCCATCCACTCCAAGGCCAGGAGCATCCATGAAAAAAGAGAACAGGCCTGACACAGACATTCTTTAAGGATGATCTAATTTAAAAACAACATCATAATGAAAATGCATGTATTTTAAAAAGAGACCCACAGCACTCCAGTGCTGGAGGCAGCCACGTGTCAGTGATGGGACTGCTCTGTACCCATTGCCCCCACCTTCCCAGGACATTTGGACAGCTCCACATCCCCATTTGTTTTCCTTTACCACAGAAAATGTCTCCCTAGCCCCACCACACACCCTAAAGCATCAGCTGAAGCTGCAGGAGGGACAAAGGCTGGAGCATCCCCTTGCCCAAGCCAGGCATGAAGCAGCCAGGGGGCAAAGAGCTCTGGCTCCCAGCACTGCAGAATTGGGCACAGCCAGAGAAGAGCCTGCCCAGGTACCCTCTGCTCACAGCAGCTGCTGGCAGGCAGGACTGCTCTTAAAGGTAATCAATGGAGCAGAGAAGAGCTCTGGATTGCTTTAATCCTTTCCAAAAAAGTATAGCTAGCCCCAGCAGTTGTCCTCCTCCCTCTGTGCCTGTGAGGATTTGTACTTGTATGGCTGGATAATTTGACAGGGACAACACACACTTGGCCCAGGCAATCTCAGACTTCCCAAGGGAGTTTGCTCTTCGCTCAGTGTGCTTTGCCAGCCCAATAAATCCACCCCCACGTGTGCCACTCTCCCCTCCCTCCCTTCCTCCACACGGAGGGCTGGGACAGCAGCCTTGGGGCGTGACTCACACGCACAGGGGGTGAGGACATCCCCTTCCCACGGGCAGGGCATCGCCAGGTACCGGCAGCAGCACGGGCACGGGGAGCCAGGCGCCGCGGCGCTGTGGAACAGGCAGGGCTGTCCCACTTGTGTCAGCCAGAGGCACCAGAGCCGTGGAGCCAATGGTGAATACAGAGCCAGAGTCCCTGTCCCCGGAGCCAGGAGCACGGCAAGGGGCAGGTCTGCAGTTCATGGGGCACCCCGGTAGCTGTAGTGATTGTGGTCGGGGTCGCTCAGGGTGAGGGGCAGGCTGGGCTTGCGCTCCGGGTCCTTCTCCTCACACTGCCGCGGGGGACGCTGCTTGAAGAAGTCAGAGACGTAGTGGACCTGGAAAAGAGACAGGAAAGGCGGTTTGGGGACGCCTGTGCCAGGCCAAGCAGGAGCCCAGGCGAGCAGCAGGGCTGCAGAGGGGACACTCACAATGAGGACGGCAATGAGAGCCCCCTGCAGCAGCCCCACCAGCACGTCGCTCCAGTGGTGCTTGTAGTCGGACACCCTGGTGTAGCCCACGTAGATGGCGAAGGCGATGAGGAAGAACTGGATGGTGGGACGCAGCAGCCGGGCCCACTTCCCCACCAGCCGGGCCTGCACGTAGAGCTGGCAGCAAAGAAGGGAGAAATCACCCAGGGCAGGGTCAGCAGCCAGCCCAGGGATGGGGTGCTTGGGGCATGGGACCCGTGGGGGCTTCCTGTGGCACGGCACTTACCGCCAGGAACATCATGCAGTACATCCCAAAGGAAGAGTGTCCTGAGTAGAAGGACAGTCTGTGGGGCAAAAGGGAGGGATCAGGCCAGGAGCGAGCCCCCAGCTGGTCCCCACAAGACCCCTACCCCCTCCACAGGCTCTGTCCTGCAACAAGAGAGCCTCAATACCCATCTGGGGCTGCCACTGTGAGTCCAGCACTGCTGGGCAGGTGGAAGAGACATATCCTGTGGCACCATGGCTCACCTGGACTCGGTGATGTTCCTGCTCTCTCCCTGGCAGACATTCTCCAGCTGCACGTAGATGGAGCAGTTCACCTTGGACCAGTCAGGATTACAGACAGCCAGGAAGTTTGGCCGGAGACGGCCGATCATGTATTTGGCCAGGTCAGTCAGGGACTGGCTGATGGCCCCCCCGAAGAGAAAGGTCCCAACCACCTTGTAGAGAGCAGCCAGGTAGTTGTTGAATTCTGACTTGGAGTAGAGACGGTCAGTGTAGACCAGGTATGCCTCCCCTGATGATATCTGCAGAGACCAGGGGGCAAAAGGTGAAGTTGGGTGCTCCTGAGCAGCTCCCAGGGCTGCAGGATGTCGTGGCTCTGTGGCAGAGGAGCCCCTGGCACCGCCTGCCACAGGAGCTCACCAGCCCTCTCCCCCTCCCTACAGAAAACCAGTCCCATGGGATGTGGGTCTCAAGCTGAGGGTGTTGTTGCCCTTCCAGGGCTCTGGAGGTGGCTGTGCTGGGCCCCAGCTTCCAGATACAACATGTCAGCATGAGCCTGTCCTGGAGGAAAGGGGGTGGCAGCTCCTTACAATGATAACAGTGCAGCTGATGGTGACCCCGGCCATGAGGCCATGGGTGATGGTGTCTGCCTTGTAGGGGTAGCGGATGGAGTCATCGTTGCAGTAGAAGCCTCGCTTGTATGGGGAGTTCACCAGGGTCAGGATGATGAAGGGCAGAGACGCTGCAAGGCAGAGAGAGGTGAGGTCTGGGGACAGCGGCCAGCAGGCTCCACACCAGCACACAGCACCACCCATCTCTCGTCCCTAAGTCTCTGCTCCCTGATGCCAGGGAGGGATCCCCCCCCAGGGGATGAGATCCTGAGCCACCTGTACCCAGGGCAGGAGGACCTGAACCCACCAGTGCACTGCCCTGACAGCGATAGGGCCCTATCAGAGCTCACAGATGCCTGCAGCACCCAGATACCACACGAGACGGCCACAAACGGGCACCCACAGAGCCTCTATGGTTGCCCCACTCCTCCCCAGGCACAACCGTGGCGAGGCCTGATCCTGTGCCCTCTACTCACACTGCCCAGTCTTTCAGCCTAGGAAGACAGAGCTGATAAAATTAATGAGCATAGGCATCCTGCAAACCTGTTTTACAGCAGGTAAAACAGCCCCAGGTAAAACAGGGTCCCAGAACCCTCACAGCAGCTCCAGAGAGCCAGCGCTGGGAGATGCTGGTGCACGACCCAGCCCAGGCACAGTGGGACTCCAGTGCACCTGGTTTGCCCTCCTCATCCTCCCACAGCTTTTTGTTTCTCCCAGCCTCTCTTCTCCCCCGGCTCCTCGAGGCTCTGGAGGCTGCGCTGGCTGGCTCAGCTCACCCGGGACTGAACCGTCCCCGACATCCAGAGGGGTTTTGGGGGTCTCTGTGCCGCACAGCCCCCCGCTGGAACGGGACCCCCTGCCCTTGCTCCATCCCTGCTCAGGAACAGCCAAGCTCGGGTTCCAGGACGCTCCCCAGGGAAGCGGCCCCCCTTCCCCGGAGGCCACCTTAGGTCGGGCTCCTCTCCCAGTTCCGCCTTTCTCGGCGGTTTCCGCCTCCCCTTGTTCCTCCGTCTCCCGGGAGCCCGCACCTTTGTCCCCGCCCGTCCCCGCCCCGGGGGTCCCGCCGCCTCCTGAGCGCGGGGATGAAGCACCG